TGATGTATGCGTCCTCCTTTCTCTTGACCAAAACCTGAATTTCTGTAGTCATCCAGCATCGCCTACGCCTACCAGCCTTGCCTTTCACCCTAAGAGGAACATACTGTCTTTAGACGCTCGTTATCTCATTTCCCACTTACCAGCCATCCCTTTACCTGCGAATATCCACCCCCCCATAAACCTTTGAAAGTTCTTGCCTAGTACTGTCAAAATTGGCCTTCCTCCAATTTAGAACTTTAACTTTTAGATCTGGTCTATCCTTTTCCATCACTGGTTTGAATGTAATACAATTATGATCACTGGCCCCAAAGTGCTCCCCCACTGACACTTCTGTCACCTGCCTTGCCTTATATTCCAAGAGTAGATCAAATTTTGCACCTTCTGTAATAGGTACATCCACATACTGAATCAGAGAATTTTCTTGTACATATTTAACAAATACCTCTCCATCCAAGCCCTTGACACTATGGCTGTCCCAGTCAATGTTTAGAAAGTTAAAATCCCCGACCATTACCAGCCTTTTATTCTTACAGATAACTGAGATCTCCTTGCAAATTTGCTTCTCAGTTTCCTGCTGGCTATTGCGGGGTCTATAGTATAATCCCAATAAAGTGATCGTCCCTTTCTTATTTTTCAGTTCCACCCGGATAACTTCCCTGGACGTATTCCCAGAAATATCCTTCCTAACTACAGCTGTAATGTTACCCCTAATCAAAAATGCCACTCGCCCACCCCTTTTGCCCTCCTTGCTATCATTCTTATAGCATCTATACCCTAGGATGTTAAGCTGCCAGTCGTGTCCATCCCTGAACAGGTCTCTAATCGCTGTGATAGCCCAGTTCCACGTTGCCACACGTGCCCTGAGTTCATTTACCTTACCTGTTAGGCCTCTTGCATTGAAATAAATGCAGTATATCAGTCCTGCGTTGTTCCTGTCTGTTTGACTTTCTCCTTTTTTTCCCAACTGCACCAGTGTCAGGCTGATGTCTTTTCACTATTGCTGTCCCCACTCCCCTCTTCTCCCCCACCCCCCAACTAGCTTAAATCCTCCTGAGCAGCTCTACCAAATCTCCCTGCCAGTATATTAGCCCCCTTCCAATTCATGTGCAATCTGTTATTTTTATACAGTTCACTACTATCCCAGACAAGATTCCAATGTTCCAAAAATGTGAATTCTTCTCCCCCCCCCCCCCCACACCAGCTGCACAGCTGTGCATTCATCTGCTGTAACCTCCTATTCCTACTGTCACTAGATCATGACTAGTAATCCAGATATTACGGTCCTCTAGAACCTATTTTTTTAAATTCCTGCCTAATTTCTTTTATTCTCTCGGGACGAGAAAAGGATGAGGTTCTATATCATTAGTTCCAGTGTGTACAATAACCTCCTGCTGGTCGCTCTCATCTTTGAGAATATTCTGCACCCTGTCCGAGATCTGGATTTAGCTATGACATGAAAGAACTTTTCAATGTGCACTTTGGCAAGACCATTCAGGATCTTCTATATTTCAAGCAAGTAATCCCTCTCTCTTCTGAACTTGAAGGGAAACAAGCCCAGTCTGTCCAACCTTTATTCATAACCCACTCATTTGAGGTAGCAATCTAGTAAACCTTCTCTGAATACCCTCAGTGCATTTGCATCCTTGCTGGAAGGAAAAGACCAAAACTGCTCTCAGTATTCAAAATGTAGTCGCACCAATGTCTGTATAACTGAAGCATAACATCATAGAATTCCCCAGAGTGTGGAAACAGGCCATTCAGTCCAACAAGTCCGCACTGACCCTAAAGAGCCTCCCATCCAAACATATACCCCCACCCTATCCCCGTAACCCTGCATTTTCCGTGGCTAATGCACCTAACCTACACATCCCTGAATGCTATGGGCAATTTAACATGGCCAATCCACCTCATTTGCACATCCTTGGACTGTGGAAGGAAACCCACACAGGTGCAGGTACAACATGCAAACTCCACAGTCGCCCAAGGTTGGATTCAAACCTGGGTCCCTGGCACTGAGAGGCAGCAGTGCGAACCACTGAGCCACAGTGCCGTCCTAGGATATTAGTGAACCAGATGGGGTTTTTTCCTGACAATCGCCAATGGATTCATGATCATCATTATTTTCTTTATTCCACATCTTTATTGAATTCAAGTTCCATTGTCTTCCATAGTGGGATTCGAACCTGCATCCCCAGAACAATACCTAGGTCTCTGGATTAACAGTCCAGTGATAATACCACTAGGCCAGTGCCACCCCATCCTTACCTATATTTTCAATTCCTCTTGTAATAAAGGATAGCATTCATTAGCTGCCTTGATTTTATTGTATATGCGCACTAATGTCTTGTGATGTGTGCACTAGAACGTAGATCCCTCTGTGCCTTGGAATTCCACAGTCATTCTCCATTTAATGAAAACTCTGCTTCATAATTCTTCCTGTCAAATTGAGCAAACTAATTTTCCCACGTTATACTCCATCTGACAATTTCAAGTCACTGGGCAAAATGTGGGCAAATAGACTATAGTGTGAGAAAATATGAAATTGATTTTTGCAAAGGAGAACAAAAGAACAGCTTTTTAAGTGGAGAAAAACTGCAGAAAGCAACAACAGAAAGAGACTTGGAGGTACTTGTGCGTAGAAAGCTAGCATACAGGTGAAGTAGCTAATCAGGAAGACTAATGGAACATTTGCCCTATGAAGAGGGTTGGAGAATGAGTAAGGACGCCTTTCTAAAACTGTAGAAAGTGCTGGTCAGACCATATCTGGACTACTGTAGGTAGTTTTGGTCCCCTTATTTAAGGGAAGATATCATTTCATTGGAGGCTGTTCAGAAAAGATTCTCTAGGGTGATCCCTGATATGGAGAGATTGTCTTATGGGCAGGCTAATCACCTTGGGACACTATTCACTGAGTTTAGAATGTAAAGTGATCTCATTGAAACCTATAGGATTCTTAAGGTGCTTGACAAGGTAAATGTTGAATAATGTTTCTCCTCACGGGAGAGTCTAGAATCAGCGGACATAGCCTTAGTCTTAAAATTGGCATCCCTTAATTCTATGATAAGGAGGAATTTGTTCTTCGGCTGGAGACTTCTTACTCCTTGCCACAGAGAACTGTAGGGTTTGAGTCGTTGAGAGCTGAGATGGATTCTTGATCAGTAGGGGAATCAAACGTTACAGAGAAAAGGCAGAAAAGTGGAAATGAGGAATATCAGATCACCCATAATCCTGTTGAATGGTGGAGCAAGCTCAAAGGCTGAATGGCCTACTCCTGTTCCTATTTCTCATGGTCTTACATGCTTTCATTTTTCGCAATAACCTTTGATGTGGTACCTTAGTTAAGTATGATCCCCCTTTCATAAAACTGTGCTGATTCTTCCCAATTGCCTTGTGTTCGTCTAAGTGGCTGCCTATGACCGCTTTAATAATCAATTCTAATACCTTTCCACAACACACTTTAGGACAACTGACCTTATTTTTGTATTTTCTGCTTCCCTCCCTCCCCGATTTGGGTTTTTTATTTTATTACTTTCCAGTCTGATTTGAAGGGAATTTCAGAAAATTAAGAGCAATGCATCTCCTACCTCATTAGCTACCTCAAGATCTAGGGTAAAGTCCTTGAGGACCTAAAGAATTGTCAGATCCATTGCTTAAGTTTGCTTAGTACTTCTTCCCTTGTGATATTCACCAAGATATATTCTCCCTTTCACCTAATTAACAGCTATTATGATAATGCTTTTGCATCCTCTATGATGAAGATTGAATGAATATTTTCTTTCATCACTTTACCTGTAGAGAACCAACACTTTACATTGTTCCTTTCCAAATACCTGTAGAGACCTGTTAACTTGATAGCTAGTGTCCTCTCATCATTTCTTCCTTCTAATTATCCTTTTAGTTGTTCTCTGCCATTCTGTATATTCTAACCAATCATCTAATATGCTACCTGCCATTACGCAGTTTTATCCCTTTTCCTTACTTTTAATGCTTTTCACAACTATTTTAGCTAATCATGAATGGTGGGCCCTCCCTTTAGAATGTTTTCAATAGTACAAATATACTTATTCTGAAATATCTCCATAAATATCTGGCACTGCATCTATCACCTAGCCTAGAATACTAGTTCACTACTTGCTCCGCTTTCATGCCCACATGGTTGTCCCTATTTATATTTAAAATATTAGACTTCGATGCAGGACTTCTCCCTTTCAAACTGGGTGTAGAAATTAATCATATTGCTGATACAGCTGCCCAGGATTGCCTTTACTCTATGGTCCTGATTAATCCCGTTATAGCACACTGTACCAAGTCTAATATAACTTGCTGTCTGACTGTGCTGCTCTCGGAAGCTATCTCAAAAATATTCTATGAACTCCTTGTCCAAATCATTAATGCCAATTTGATTTTTGCCAGTTTATTTGTGGATTAAAGTAACCTTTTCTCTTTGATATACTGCACAGTTCCCAATTCTGTCGCTTGTTGCAGATTGCATACTCTTTGCAGAAACTGTTCCTGTTCACCCAAATGGCTTCCAAGCATGTCAGAACAACTATTCTCAGAAACATTGCGCAGTATAATTTTCAAACAAGTATGCACTGTGGATCACTATCAATTTGTATTCTCTATTTAAGCATTATTTGATGTCTTGCATGCTGGTTCACACAGCTATGATGCTGATTTTAATCTTCAGTATGCAATGAAATTAAAGGATTTCATGCAGGATGGTTGTCATCAAAGTTAACACTGGACTAGTTTTAATACAACAGGGATGGAGAGCGTATAACTGATTGGATGGACTAATGAGTACTTTTTAGAACTGCATGTTCAATCACTGGCTTCTGCTTTAAGTAATGCTATATAGCTGTGATGTGAAGTTGACATGCTAATAAACGAAGCCAAAACACAACAGTTGTTGTGACAGTTCGGAATCCTTAGTTTATTGCAGAATAAACAACTTCAGTACCGTTTCGACTGAACTGTTTTTTGTTTCCTTTCGCTAGCCCAGTGTTTTAATTGTAAGCTACAAGGAATCTGCAAAGGCGGCTTCACGGTTTGGATCGTATGAAAAGACAGAATGGAAGCCTGACAGCAGCATGTTTGCAGTTGCGGTAAGACACGAGACTGAAGCTAGTAGTTAGCAATATTATATTTTAGCAGGGAGGCTTTATGAAGAACCTTAAGATGTTTTTTGCATTAAATATTTTGCATAAGTGCTTGGTGTTGCTTTTGTTATTGAACTAATTTACCAATTTAAAGTACTTCTATCAAGGTTTTCCAGCAACTTCAGTTTTTCAAACTGCAGCTCCTTTTTGACCAAAAATTTTAGAATGAGAAAAGAGGAAAATAAGGATCAAAATACAGTCTTCTGAAACCTAAAAAATCATCCAACAAATAAAATAACACTCTTTCCTGTTAAATAGAGATGCCGCCAAGTTTGGCAATGAATGTATATTGGTTGTATGAGTTAACCAACTTAATTGCTGAATAAAGATCAACACTGGATGAGGTTCCTCAAATGGGAGAATAGAACAAAGGCTTCCATTTATATTACATCTAATAATTCAAAATTCTCAATAAACCTGCATACAATGAGTTGCTTTAGGATTGTATTCACTGTTATGTTGGCATACGTATGTACTAGTTTTTACGTGAGATGTGCTAAAGAGCAACAAAATAGATGGATTTGGTTTTGCGGTATTAGTTGGAGGAGAGATGACAGGGCATATCATGTTTCATCTTCATGTTTAAATAGAGCTTTGCTTTCACAAAGGATGGGGACTTATGACAAAGCAGTATTTTATTACTGCTGTGCTGGAATATTGAATTGTGTCCTATGATCAATTTTGGGTAGCTAACTGATGTATTCCTAAAGATTGTGATAGTGAATGCATAGAGTGCCATAACATGATGCTAAGTAATGGGTTATTACATTATATTTACCTACACTTTGCAAATGTTATTGACTTAAATATCAGTAGAAAATTTTCATTACTATGCTGTTGGACTTGCTCAGTGAAAGGAGAAAGAATTAAGTGTTTCAGGTGGTTGTCTTTTTGATGAAACCTAAAGCATTAACTCTATTGAGGGGTGGTAAAAAAGAGAAGGGATGGGAAGAAAGGATGTTAGGGTCAGGGATTGGAGTGGTGAAAGGCATGAGAAAGTTTGAAATGGCAGTGGTAGAATAGAGAAGCTGACCCCTTTTCTTGCATGTTTTGTCTCTTTTACCTACATGCACCCCTGCCACCACCACTGCCATGCCACGAGCTGTGTTTCTTGGGATGATCAGTGTGTCAAGGTGATTATCACTGGCCCTAATGTTAACCCCTCTCATCATGACACTGATTTAATGTCATTCTGATTAGTGGGGATGTCCGTAGAGCCCACTATGGTAACACAATAGCCAGGGCACTGTACATCCATCACCTGTGCACATGCTAATGGTCCTGAGTTGGCTAGTAAATTGCCGCTCTCAGTTAACGGTTGGAAATCCTAGATGTTTTTGAAAATTTATTTGCCTTTGTCTACCAGTATTTGACCATGAGTAAAAATCAGATTTTTCGTTCTGTTATGCTGCAGAAGGCAATGTTAATTGTCTTTTTCTAAACTTTTTCTTTGCAATTTCTGCCGAAACTCAGTTCGGTTTGCTTTTCGTGGAGGAGTGATTTCGGGTCAAGAAAACAAACTACTGATGAGCCGGACCACGTCATTAGATAATTCCCCTTTGACTTTTCTCACTTCCCTTTTGGGTAAACGGTTCTGTTTACTGCTTTGATTTTTGCAGTCCAATCAAAATTTAAGAATTTGTTGCTTGATTAAAATGAAAAGCTCATAATTTTCTTGTGACTTTGTAATTCTGGAATGTAAAATCTTCCTCGATCACACACGTGTTTCTTAGTTCCATTGTTTGTTCCTTCTATGGAGCATTTCTTGTGGGCTTAAAGGAAGTTTTAGATTCTGCCATTTTGATTGTTGTAACACAGGCGCATCAACTCTTGTTCATAATTGAGTCAGCATTCTGCTGAGATTATTGCAAATATTGAAGGTTCTGCTTTTGAGAGACTTTTTTTAATGCTAGTTAACTATTTAATCAAATTAGTGATCTTATAGATGTTTATAAAGTCATGAGGGGCATAGATAAGATGAATAGTCAAGGTCTTTTCTAGGGGAGACTAAAACTAGAGGGCGTAGGCTTAAGGTGAAAGGGGAAAGATTTAAAAGGGACCTTGGGGGCAACTTTTTCAAGCAGAGGATATTGCATATACAGAATGAACTGCCAGAGGCAGTAGTGGAGGCTGGTACAATTACACCATTTAAAAGACATCTGGATGAGTATACGAATAGGAAGGGTTTAAATGGATATGGGCCAAATACTGGCAAATGGGACTAGATTAATTTAGGGTATCTGGTCGGCACGGATGAGTTGGACTGAAGGGTCTGTTTCTGTGCTGTCTCTGACTCTAACTTTACCTTCAAGCATGTGTGCACTATATCAACGATTTTACATGACTTTATTAATTTTTCAAACTGCATTGTTAATAAAGTGATATGAATTTAATATTTATTAAATTTGAAATTTTTTTGGATTCAAATTTTTGCAACTTCTGGCTTTATATTCGAGATCCTTTCCAATGTTCACAGTTGCGTACAAAACTAATAACTGTGATATTCTACACCTAGTATTATTATATTTCCTCTGTTTTAGCATAACATTGTTCCTTAGAATTGTGATGCTTTTGTTTTGAGGATCCCAAAGTACATGTTTCCTGTTGATAAGCTAGTCAAGTTTTCAATGTGGTGCCCAAGAGCAATGCATCACATTGTTGCTTTTGCTTGCTTTAAAAAAAAACTTAATAAAGCAGTAAATAGAGCAATTAATGGGTGCAGTTTTGTTTTTAGTTAGCTAGTTGGCTGGACCACTTGCTATTTTAATAATGAGTCTGGAAAATTTGAATTTTGGATTTTCCTCTTGTTCAACCTAATCTATCCACCCAAAAATTTAGTTATCCTTTTGTTCTTGCTATGCATTACTGTAGGAAGACTAAATTTGCTGGCCAGCCCCATAAACCATAGAATGAAAGTTATTTCTGCCTTTGTCCTATTCCTTTATTTCTGGAAATGGAGATTTGTTTTTGGGAGAAAACAACAAATGACAGAGATCACAGCAGGTCAGGCAGCCTCCATGGAGAGAAAGCAAGCTAAAGTTCCAGTCTAGATTGTTCAGAGCTGACGTGAAGTCAGTTTTGTTTTAGGAGCATGGGTGCCATCAGTCCTCCGTGCTTCACTTGCAATTCTCTGGAGTTTAAACCCGCAAAGACTCTTCTGTTGCAGAGAGCAACTGCCACACTTTCTTGTGTCCACTTGTCTTGCAGTTCCTGTTCCGGGGCAAATAAACAAGGTAGCATCACTGATCAAATGGCAGTGTTATTACCACCGTTTGGTGCTGTGGTTACAATCTTTCACAAGCTAGTTGTGGCAGAGCAGTGGGAAATGGAGCAGCAGGTCAGCATGAGAGGGGAGGGTAGGGGTCAATAGGATGAACAGGTCAAGATTAGCGAGCAAGGCGGAACTTCAAAAAGTGTAGTGATGAAGACAGGAGAAGGAAGTAATGAAAAGAAGCTGAAGGACAGGATAACACGTATAGCCAAATGCATGGAGTGTAATGAACAAATTAAATGAGCTACAGGCACAGATTCAAACTGGAAACTGATATATTAGTCATTTCGGAGATGTGGCTGCAGGATGGTCAAGACTGGGAATTAAATATACCTGGTTATAAAGTTTATGGGAGAAATAGAGAAAACAGCAAAAGCGTGGAGTAGCATTACTAATTAGAAACAATCGCTTCTGTGGTGAAGGAGGACGTAATGTGGGAAAACACCCAGTGGAAGCCTTATTAGTCGAACTTGTGACAATGCTGTTACTTTAGGAGGTTACTTTGCCTTACAACCCCTCTTCAAAAAAAAAAGTAGAGGCATCAGACTGGCTACTGAAGATGACTTGAATAAACAGCTTGGGAGGATTTTGTTTTTTTTTTTAAACAGCCTGCACTGTCAGATCCAGATTTCTGGGTTTTGTTTTATTTTCAGTAATATCAGAAGATATTTAGATTATTTATTTATTTGTCACGTACTAAGTATAGGAATAGAAAAGTGCACAGTCACCATTCACTGGTGCCCAATTGGTCACAAAAACCAGAATTAAAAGATTTAACAGAGCCAAAAGGTAAGCAAGAAAAAAAAAGGTCCATAACTCAGAGTTCCAAGTCCCATCTCTGTAAAGGTGCAGGCGCCGTTCCAATAGCTAGGCTGCTGTCGCTGCCTCACCGGCCTGCTCTCCAACTGCTGCTGCTGACTCCCCAGCCCGCTAGCTTCAGTGAATGTCCCTTGGCTGCTACTAGCTCTGAATCTTCTCTTGATTTTTTTTTTTCTTTCTGTTTTGAAGAACTGCATTTGAGAATCTGTACCTGAATTTGCCTTTTTGCCAAGGCATGTGTTTATGGGATGTTACTGTATTGGGGCAGTCAATTAATAATGGTTACTGTATCTATTATTCTGTTAAGTTTTTCAATATCGTTATTTTTAATTGCTTTTCTTTAGTTGTATATGAACTACAGTATTTAAATAAATTGTGCTTTGCTTAACATCGAGTAGTTTAACCAATCGCATTGCATCTGAGACACTTCACATTTACCTTTTAAAATAAGATAAAGTTAGGGGCTTAGCTACCTCCTTTAATGTTTTGAGGGAATCTGGTCTGATCCATAACAACCTTAGGAACTGTAAAGGAACTATAACTGTGATAGGTGTCTCATATAGGCCATCAGGTAACAGCTCAGAAGTGTTGTATAAATGCTGAAGTTAGGCAGCTATTTAGCAAAGGCAATGTAGTTTTAATCTCAACATGGATGGAGACAGACAGACAAGCACCTGTCATAAAGGTTGTGAATTTCTAGAGTGTATCTGGTATAGTTTCCTGTGGCAATATGTCTTGGATGTGACAAGGGTACAATCAATATTGTGCACAGCATTGATCAAGAGCTTGATTTAGTTAGAGTCCAAGTTATTTGTGAGCAGTTGTCAAGTAGTAACCAAACATGATTAGTTTCATG